CTGCAAACATCTGAATATGTACATACATAAACAACTGTTTGAATAAACAAACAGGCAGTCAGTCAAAGAAATAAGACTTAAAATAATGATTAATAAAGGAGTAAATTATCTGGATAGAGGAAAGAGTGAGCCCTGTAGTGAAACAGAAAATTAGCTGAGTTCCCTCAGTTGCAGTGCGAGCAGTGTGAAGAGCTGAGTCAGCAGAAAACAGGATTGTTGAGTTAATAACAACCTGATAATCAGCCGATGTAACTAACTGCTCAGTGTGCATGTGATGTCAGCATGTTTCATGTTACTGAACAGCACACTTTATACAGATTCTGTTTTCCGCTGACATTTAACTGCAGTCATTGACGTGCACACATCCTGAGTGTTGATAGATTACAGCAACAACAGTCAATCTATTTGACTAAACAAGCATTGCAACTGTCGCAAATTCACATCCCTCTCCATATGAATAGTTTTGATGCAAAATATTTGCAGGCCAGTGTTTTCACATTTTCATGTCATCTATTTGTCACATCTCCACTGACAAATAGCGAGCCAACTCTGGCAAATGGAGTGTAAAAGTTTTTAGATGTACTATGAGTGATAAAACATTCAGGGAGCCTATGGAGCCCTGAGCGAAACAGCAACAGCTTGTTGTTGCTCTGAAAATAGGTTGGAGGTGGGTGAAGCTTCCCTAAAATAGAGCCAAGGCGAGAGGTTGTTCAAACAAGCAACACGACATTTAACCTGTTCACTGACACACAGAGCAGGTTATTGAGAAACACTGAAACAATCTGATGGTCATTTGCATGCTCATTCGGACTGCGTCCAGTTAGGAAGAGGTGTCACACCTTGTGTTCAAAGACTCAGAACCAAGGAACAACCAGAATTTGAAGTCCTGGTGAAACTGAATTTTGAGAGTATCTAGCTTCAGTAACGTGACGTATGTCAGAGTGAAACAGGAGTGGGAGGGAGCCGGGATAAATGGAGGAATTGGGTTTGATCACTGATAATTGGCTGTGTTAGACCAAACACAGAGAGGCAGCGACTGCGTACATCAGGAGTCATCTACTATATTTGTCCAAGGACCAGAAAATTATTACACACACTGCTGGGGCCGGACTCTCAGGAAACAAACAAACAAATAAACAATGCAAACTTTATGCATGTAGTTGCACAGAGACATGGACACAGCGATGCAGAGTGTGTAAAAAAGAGAGGGGAAGAGAAAGTGGAAGGTGGACTATTGCACACAATATTTTTGTAAGTTATTAATAACTTACTCAGGACGTCTTTTTATCGTTTGATATTTTTCTAGTAAGCCTACCGAACCCGCCACGTCTACCCCAAATAAGAAGCTGACAGATGGATTTATAACATCTTTAGTACCTGTGGGTCAAATACATATAGTCAGGGTTGGTAAGTCATTCCTAATCAACCTGGTCTCACATTAAAGTTGTCAAATCTGGTGCTTGGGCACTGACTTGCGGTATCAGACACTGATTGAAAAAGCTGTCCTTTAACGTTGGCATGATATGCGGTTGGTCGCGGTTATAGTTTAACGGTGCTCAGCGGCGTCAGGGGGAAACATGACAGGTCAAGAACAAAAATTAAGACGACAAAAGTCCAAGTAGTGCGGACAGGAGGGGTGGTGGATGAGTTCGACAAACACCGACTTTCACCCGGGAGAGCCTTGTTCATGCCCCTAAGATTATAAAGCGAAATCCTGATCTTTCCTAAACGCAACCATGTGCGTTACTCTTTGGTGGAATAAATTGACAATTTGCATTGTTGTACTGACGTAGTGCATTTATTTTGAAAGAGACTGTATGTAAACATTAAATTTCCTGTGAAAACAGAGAGGATCTTGAAAGAAGACAATGCATGTAACAGGCAGAACTTGACACGGAGGCAGAAGGTCCATGACCAAACATCGAATTGTGACGAGGTCGGAGTGAGAATGTGTTGTCCTAATAAAAGTATTTCCATGTCAATTTTCTGAGGGAGTTGCTTCAATATAAGAAGAAAAAAAACGCTGGATATGCTAAATACCATAACGCACCTTTTCCCCTCCTTACATTTTTGAATTAGCCTAATTAATATGCTAATATGGAAGGCTTTTGCAGGCCCCCAGCTGATCACGTGTGTACGCTGACAGGATAGTAGCATCCGTCAGGGAGAGAAAAGCAAAGTCTGACGAATACCCCTTGTAGCTGTTAAATTCCCTGTAAAATGCCTTGTTCATTATCTGGAACCATCACAGATACCCACTTTCCTCAGAGGGAACAAATTGGCACTGTCGCCTCACAGCAAGAGGGTTCCCGGTTTGAACCCAGGGCGGGGAAGCCCTTTCGTGCAGAGTTTGCATGTTCTCCTTGTGTCAGTGTGGGTTTCCTCCAGGTGCTCCAGCTTCCTCCCACAGTCCAAAGACTTGCAGGTTAATTGGTGACTCTAAGTTGTCCGTAGGTGTGAATGTGAGTGTGAATGGTTGTCTGTCTCTATGTGTCAGCCCTGTGATAGTCTGGTGACCTGTCCAGGGTGAACCCTGCCTCTCAACCAGTGTCAGCTGGGATAGGCTCCAGCCCCCCCACATCCCCTAACAAGAGAAGCAGTTACGGAAAATGAATGAATGAATGAATGTTAAATGGGTGCACATTACGACTGGGGATGTGATCTGACTGCATTATACTGAGAGGTGTCTTCATAATCTGACCCTCTCAGCATGTAAATAAAGTGGACAAAATATTAGAAAACTGTGAATATAATGTCCAACACCACCTTAAACTGTGATAAACAGTAATAAACATGTAATTAAATTAATAAGTCAAACCTGATTATTATTTGTGTAAAGGAAGACTTTATAGCAGAGCTCCTTTGATGGATCAGACTGTACGGATGTACCTAATTAAGTGGCCACTGAGTGTATCTGTCAGTTTCTACACAGACACATGCACATGTTATCTGATTCTGTTTATCCACATACGTTTTAATCTGAATTTTCCGTCACAGGAAATAAGAAATGAATAAATAAATGTTTCACTTGAATCTGAATCTGAACACGTTGCAATAGAAATATAAATACTGTCTGGTTATCTCAAGTTATTAATCATGAATCAGAAGTTAAATCTTACAGATCAGAGTGAGTCCCAGCAGAGCTCCACATCTCAGCATAAACCCGCCCCGGCTCTCCTCCACGGGCTCCGGCTCCGGGTCCGAGCCGCCAAAGCCGGGCCACGGCAGCACCAGGAATCCTCCTGGAGCCGCAGCTTTCATCCCTGCAGCTCAGAACAGACTGAAGACAGAAAGAGAGCCGAGCCGAGCCAGGACACAGAGGAGGGGGGGGAGGGGACAGATTAACTCAGATTAGAGCAGATTATCCTGCACACTGAGCTGCTCTGGGATCAGTGAGAGAGCACATGGACAGTAAGGATCCCCGTCTGATGGAAACCACACATCTACAACATTAACAACAGATTAACTTTAAGATTATTATCACCATGTGTGCGTCTTTATATGTCTGTATGGAGGTCTCCAGGTTGGGTTTTGCTCAGTGTATCATGATGAATTATGGTTCATTTACAATAAACAGATGCTATGTTTGTTCTTGTAAGTAAATTATATAATTCAGCTGTACATGTTTCAGATCTTTTTGATTTATTAGTACTACTACTGAGATTCTTTAACTATACCCTTAAACTTAAAATGACTACTTGTAATAATAATAGTAAAGATAATAATGTGTTCTTTGTTTCTCAGTTGGATCCTCATTAGCTTCAAGAGAGTGTGTTTCAGTTAAAAATGGATTTATTGCCTTTATTATCTTGGTTGTTAGAGAGAAAAGAAACACAGCTATGAGGTCAGTCAGTGTGCACATTGTCATTTTACCTTTGTATACTTTTACTTACTGTTTTACTTCCTGTTTTCATTTGTATAATCACTGATTTCCAGCCAGTTATCTGTTGTAGGTTCTGTGGTAAATATTTGCAGGAGGCAGGCTAAATGTCATTTCCTGTTATTCAGATCACCAAAATAAAGTGACACAAGTCTTACTTTGTGTTGGTTTCCATTTCCTGTTATTAGGTCACCAAAATGAAGTAACCTGTGTGTCAACAGGATCTGCAAAACAACAATCCACTGCATCAGTTTAATGACTTTGTGTACAGCTGGGTAGTTAAATCAATATAATACAAATAAATTAAATTTATTATTTAATTGCGTTTTGTATTAATAATCTGAATTTGTAAAGTAACTAAAGCTGTCAGATAAATGTAGTGCAGTGAGAAGTACAATATTCCACCTCTGAGATGTAATGGACCGGAATTATAAAGTAAAATAAAATGGAAATACTCAAGTAAAGTATAAGTACCTCAACATTAAACGGAACAGTAATAGCAAATGTACTTTGTTACATTGCATCACTCATTATATAGAAATATTTTGACTAAATGTATGTTATAGTTTTGATAGTGTGTTTTATTTCTGAAATGAATTTGTTCAACTTTCATACCTAAAATTGTAGTAACAGTAGTACAATAGTAACAGTATAAAAACATAAATCACTACAGTTCTGCATCCTGTAAATCTGTTTTATTTTTGTTATATAATTTTAATTTTGTAATGTATTATTTAGTCGTAGTAGAGAGCGCAACACTTCCCCAGTGCTACAAAGTAAATAAAAAATAAATATTTCAGCCTCGCCTCTGACGTCACTCTGTTGCCCCGCCCCCGCCACAAACAATAAAAACAAAATGGCGTCCTGCCCTGAGAGTCTGTGTGGTGTTGTTTTGACGCCTCTCTCCTCCGCGCTCTCAGCTTGTTTTTGTTGTTTGTTTGTTTGACTGTTATTGTTGTTGTTTTCTGGCCAGTGCACCGGGTTACCGAAGTCCCACCGGCCGCTGCGGAGCCCGTTAAACCCTCCAGCCTGAAAAACCCGCAGCTTGCTGCAGTTGGAGGGACTCCCACCGACCAATGAGAGGCCGCGCTGCTCTGAGCAGGAAGTGACGTACAGTCGTTGTCGGCCAATCCGCAGCTGCAGCAGGAGGAAGTCCCGACCACAGCCTCCTGAATCGGAGCGCGCCCGAAGAAGAACCGTGCGAACCCGTCCTTGCTCCGCGTCCGAGCTCCGCAGCTCCCGCAGCAGGTAAGCCCCGCACAGCTGCACCCGGTCCGATCTGCGTTATCACGCAACTCCGTTACACCGTGCCGACAGGTACACGAAGGAAGCGCTTGGTGTGTTACAGCTAGCTGCCGCCGGTGGGGCGGTGCAGACAGGCTGTTGTGATCCAAACGCACCGCGGCTGACCGTGCGTGCGGCGGTGGGCTGAACCGGGTCTTCAGCCCGCTCCTGCGGTCACAGGTACCCGGGTTCAGCTTTCACTGGTGCAGCCGGCCCCCGCAGTGTGTCTTTACCCGCACGGGCTGAAAGTTTTCTCCCACCGGGACATGAACGCTCCTCCTGCGGGGAAACTAACACAAAGCCCGGAGAGGAGCAGGCGGAGCGGAGCGCCCTCTGAGGCCGCATCGAGTTACTACGAGATTACAACTTTATTTAAAACCATACAAATAAGCAGAGCTGGAATGTAACGAAGTACTTTTACTTGAGTACAAATGTAAGGTGCTTGTACTTGACACTTACCACTTTATACTTTTACTCCACTTCATTTATCTGACGGCTTTAGTTACTTTAACGTTACAAATACAGATGGTTACACACAGAGCGTATGGACATGTACAGGTTTGGCTTACACGGCTGACAAAAAATAACGTCACACTATTTTGATGGTTGAAATCATTTGTCATGTAAAACTATTTAATGGTTCCAGCTTCACAAATGTGACAATATGCTGCTTTATGATTATATAATTAATATAATCAGAGCTCCACCTCAGCTAACTACAACAGTAAAATCCTGCTATTGCTGTAATGCATCTGTAATAATAATCTAACCATACCATATATAACAGTTTGTCAAAGGGTACACTTTTTCACTGAAATAAATCGTGATTATACTTTCAGACTTTTTCTAAAGGGTCAGTTTCAATGCAGGACTTCTACTTGTATGCTTGTGTACAGTATTTGCAGTGTGGTGTCAGTAGTTTGACGGCAGTTAAGGATCTGAATATTTCTTCCACCACTGCAAATAACAGATGCAACTAAGAGCGACAACATCAGATTTTTTTCCCAAATATTTATACCCAATAATTAACAATTTATCAATGGTGTTTATTTTTAGTGACTTTAAATCTGCAGCTCTTATTCAAAACGGTGTCAGTGTCATCAGTCTGTTTGTCATGCTAAACTTTGGTAATCAGAAAAGTTAATGTCGTAACTGGAGTTTCAGCATTAAAACAATTTCAGGGTATACTGTGTTATGAAAACTGAGGGGTCTTTGACTGTGGAACACCACCTAAATTAAGATTTCCACTATGTTTTTCCATAGTCTACTAACGTTGAGTCAACATTTGTGAACATGAGCTGCTCTCTCTCAAAGCCAGAAATCAGAGAAGTCTAAAACTTGTGATGTCACATGGTGTAAAGACTGGAGCTGCCCCATAGACAATGAATGAGAGACAAATGCACAGAATGTTTGTTCTAGTTTTTATACCAAAATGAGCTTTATCCTATGGTAGTGCTCTCAGTTCTGAAACAGAATATGTTCCCATTTGCTCCCTCAGTGTGATCTAGAACACCTTTCATTATTCATTGTGTATGGAGCAGCTCCAGTTTTTGCACCCTATGACATCGCAAATTGGGAGTTTTAGCTACATTTAATACCAGAAAAAATAAAGGATTAAGAAAGAGACCAAATAGTCCAGAGATGCACTGGAATAACTTGAGCTTAAGACAGGAGCTGTGTCTGCTGTTAGTGAGATTTTTTGGTTTTAAAAATTCCACCTTGCATGCATACAAGAAAAAAACATGTCAAAGACGACACAGCGGAGCTTACCGGTACCGTTAGCCTGCAGCTGCCCTTTTCTGGATATCAGGGCCACTGCCCGAGTCGGAGATGACAGAGATAAAACAGAACTGGAAAATCTTCCTGCCTCCGTGAAGTCAGTGGTGTGACAACATGTTGCTTTCCCTGCAGGAGTTATGTAAACAATGAAAACATCTTGACAGAAAAAGCTACAGGCTGCACAAGCTAAGTGAAAGTCAAACAGCCTTTTGCACACAAGGACACTAAAGATGGTGTTGTAAATTACCATTATGATGATGATTATCCATCATCATTTGGTTCTGGTGACTGGTGAAATAAATTATTGGTATTTATTAACAATAATAAGCATATACAGCCTGTGGTAATGGTTATGTTCGGCCAGTCTTGTTTTCAGTTTTTGTTCTGTTCTCCAAATGTAGAAACAGCCAAATGGGCACATGACTGCTGTGTGACTCTGATAGGTTTGGTTACCTTATCTTGTGGCACCATTAGATCTTTACAGGGACTTTGAAACTTAACGCCATCTTCATTGACATCTGGGCAGCTCCCTCTTGTAGTGAGGTTCATGTGATATGATTGAAAGCTCCGGAACAGAGGCTGTTAAAGGGACAGTGTGGTTTGATTCCTGTTAATGACTCTTAAATCTGAAGCTCCTGTTTGACTTCATTTCATGAGAATAATAAACAGAGTTTAGTGTTGTTTTATTATGATGATGATGATGACGATGATGACAGATGGAGGTTGTTTGAAGTTCTGCCACACGTCGTGACGCTGACAGTTTCTCTTGGTTTCCATAGCAACATGGATACGGAGTTGTTTATGGAGTGCGAGGAGGAGGAGCTGGAGCCATGGCAACAGGTGGACGACAATGTGGAGGAAGATGACATGGACTTCTTCGACAGCTACTGCGAGCCAGGTGAGAACACACACACATTCACACACGCAGTTAAACTTCACAACAGTTTATACAACTGCAATTAGTCTGTTTATCAGACAACTGACAGAAAATTAATGACCAACAGCTGATTTTCCTTTTAATAATAATAATAATGATAATAACACTATCTGTGTTTCTGTTTGTCCAGTGGAGGACTCTATGTCTCCTCTTCCAGCATCTGAGACTCCGCCCCCCAGGACTCCTCCACCTGTCACACCTCCAACAGGTATCTGTGTGTGTGTGTGTGTGTGTGTGTGTGTGTGTGTGTGTATGTTTGGGGTGCATGATGTAAGGAAATTGTGCTATAAAGTTAAATATCACAATAATGATATTATTTGTGATAAAATGGTGGCATACTAGATTGCAAAAAGTAAAATGTAATCATAGTAAATATGTATAAATAATACAAATGAGTATAATATCGTAGTAGATAACCCGAAGGAGTAGATGGGTGGTGGACCAAGTGTTCAAAGTATTTGAAAGGCTAATAGTTTCAATGCAAATACAAAAAAATACATGTGAACATGTTAGTCCGACTGAGATCGTACTACATCAAAATTCTCAAAGTCAGACTAACACACCCAGATAATGTGACTGGGAGTTGAATTCCTGCTTGTATACAGTAAATCAGACCCAAACTGACCGAGGCACTCAGAGCATGCTCCACAGTAGTGCTGCACGATTAATCTAATCGCAATCGCGATGTCAGGCTGTGCGATTACGTAACCGCATAAAAGGCTGCGATTTGCGATTTAATGCAGGCTAAATAAATGTTAACGTTTGTGCCTGTGAACGTGACTGCCTCTCCTGTAGTGTGTGGAGTTTGACATCACGCCCACAAGCTATCCTGGTGCGTGCAGCAGTGACCAACACAGACGCCGAAGAAGAGCATGAGCTCGACCATGAACAGGCTGAGTTGGTGGCGAAAAAAACATCTGTTACATGGCGATACTTTGGATTCAGGTACGACGACGTTGAACAGAAAGACGTGCTGTGTAAGTGTAAAAGTTAAAGTTGCCACGTCCCGCGGCAACATGACCAATCTATACCACTTGAGACAGGACGTGGCAACTTTAACTTTTAAACTTTTACACAGCACGTCTTTCTGTCCAACGTCGCTGTAACTGAAAGACGTGCTGTGTAAAAGTTTAAAAGTTAAAGTTGCCACGTCCCGCGGCGACACGACCAATCTATATCAACACTTGAGACAGCACAGGGAAAAGTAGGAAGAGTGCATGTGAGAGAAAGCCGAGCCGTGTAACGTTAAATACAAAGAGACAACTGAAAGCCGTCAGAACCTCATAAAACAACATCCAAGCACAGTTGAGCAAACATTTGTAAGTGTCACAGGGAAATCATGGACTCCATAACAAATGAAAAAATGAGCAATTTTGCTTGGGTTCGGCCCACTTGACATGCTGCTGTGTTGTGCTATGGCGCTGGAATTTGTCACTTACGTGACAATGCCTGAACGCAACCGTGCTGCGCTACTGTGTGAGCAGCGTGTTTGACTGTGCTCAGTCTGTTGATGGTCATTGACTCACTGTCTGTCCATAACAATAACTATGTCAGGTCAGTGCCCCCTGATATAATGTAGGGAAACACTGAATCAAGCAAAAAGACTCATGATACCATTTATTTATTATATTTTATTGTAATTATATTGTAATCGCAATCGCAAATCGCGATATTGTCCACCATAATCGCAATCGCACATTTTTACCAAATCGTGCAGCACTACTCCACAGTTTACGCCCCGGGCTTTGACCCGGAAGTCCAATAGTATTAAATGTGTAACAGAAGAAGAAGCTGGTAACGTAATGGTGAAATCTACATCCAGAGCCGTCTTTTATTGGACAGACGAGGAGACACAGTTCATGCTGCATCAGCTGCTCCAAAAAAGTGTTGGAACAGCTGGATGAGGCTCGATTGTTTGGTCTGTGATGTAATAGGTCAACTGGAAAAAGGTCCAACACTAACAAGCTGAAAGGGGGCATATCTCCACCTGTCGTAGAGGAGTCAGACATACTTCAGCAATTAAATGGATCCCCCTCCTGTGCTTGTATACTGGGACAAGGGCAGTAGTCCAGTTAAATGGCCTAGTGGAGCTGTAACCGTAGCTCGATTGAACTGTGCATGCAAACGTACTGAATGTTACAGATAGAGGTTTGAATATCCAGAAATAATTTGTATATTCACTTCTGCTCTAAACTCATTTAGAACTTCTTCACTGTGAATCATCAAAGACAGTATTTTTTTGTTTGTGAGAATTGTGCTGTCTCTTTGTTATGTGTAACACCAGAAACAGTTCACCAAGTCTCTGTTTTCTTGTTCCTCAGCTTCACCTCCTGTTCAGATCGTCTGCTCCTCTGTGAGGCCTGCTCCTCCTCCTCCCTCCGTCATCACCCCCTCTTCCTCTGTCTCACACCTCCCTGCCTCCTCCACGCCTGCAGCAGCTCAGACCCTGATGGCTCAGACCCATCAGGGGCCCCTCTTCCTGACGCAGACGCCAGGTGGGACGTTTCTCCTCCCAGCAGCCCCCGGGACACACAACGCCCAGCCCATCCTCCTCACCACACAGGTACAGAAAACAAACACACCCTCTGCTTTGTTTGAAGCTGTGTTACATATTTAAGCAGAAAACGACTGTTGGTGGATGTTTACAGAAAGATGAACATGGAGTTCTCAGGTGGTTTAATCAGTCTGTGTAAGCTGGGGTTAGTACAAGTGCAAACTAGAGGTGGATGCAGAAGTCACAGGTACAGCAGGAGAAAACAAAAACATAGGTAACAGTTTTCATTTATTTACAACAGACTGAGGTAACATTTTGCTCCACCGCCAACTTTGGTAATTGTTTTTAATATTAAAAAAAATCAGGAACATTTTAAACGTGTGTGTATTACACTGTACAAACACGCGAAAGGCGACGAGTCCCAACAGGCTGTAACCTCAACTTCAACAGCTTATTAATTCTGTTTCTTTTATCTGCCAAGAACATTAAATTATGTATTCATTTCATCCTGGTTAGATTACTGCAGTGCACTCTTCTCATGCCTCACACAACAAAACCTCCATAAACAGCGTGTAAAGCATTTTGTTACTTGGTAAATAAAGTTATTATTGTAAAACTAAGAAGTATCTCTCATTTTATGGAATTGTAAATAACACAGGTTAGTGTTTTTTTTTTGTTTCCCCCCCCCAGCACATCTTGGTGATGCCACTGAGTGTGCGTCAGCGTGTTTGATGTGTTTCAGTTCTCTCTCTGATGCTTTTGGAGCTGATTAAGAACCCACAGGGTCGTTCAGCTCTGCGGTTTCATTAACTCTCATTAATTGCAGGGATCTGCACCCTCAACTATCAAAATGAAAACAAAACACCTAGAGCTGCGCAAAACATATTTGAGCCTTGTAATGAAAGTAACACGGCCATAGCCTGGCGTGCACCTCCCCAGAAATGTAACTACACCAAATGGTGATGCAGACCTCCTGTCTATGTTTCTAAACTGAAACCATTTCCCTCAGTGGAAACAAAGCTTTGATTTACTTTAATTTCACAGATAAGAAACAATAAATTGCGAAGACAATAAAACCTCCACAAAAATAGCATTTTAAGTCTTGCGTGTGATTTATCCTGGCTTCATATGAGCAGAGGAAATCTCAGCTAGTCGCTAGGCTAATTTATACAGTGTAAAATGCCATAGGCTTGTGCTAATAACGTTAGCATGTTGTATTTGTTTGGAAAACGTGTTTAGTGTAAAACAGTTGTTTTGTCAGCTGAATTTTGTAACTTTACCTTTGTTAAATGTTGCTGTTGTCCCTGGCTTCATGTGAGTAGAGGAAAAAGTCGCTAGGCTAATTTATACAATGTAAAATGCCATAGGCTTGTGCTAATAACATTAGCATGCTGTTTGTGGAGAAAATGAGTCCAGATAAAGACAAGTGTTTGTCTGTGAATGCTGCGAGTTATAGTTTGCTATTGAGGTTTGGCAAAATTAAGAGGAAAGGGACCAGACCGTAAACTGATGAAGCACATTTTAGGTGACGAAAAGTTTATAAAAAAATGTATTCAGTGTATAGGCTACACGCTTTCACAATTGGAGAATGTAAACATCACTTTCGGCCTACGACAGTGATGAATAAAAATCATAAAAAATACCATTATTCATTTCCATATATTTTATATAAGTCACAGGGAGCCACTGGAAAGGGGCCAAAGAGAGAGTGACTGACTCACAGCCACTCAGCTTGTTGTGTGAGCCTCAGCACGTGTTGCTAACAGTGTACAGATACAAGTTTGTGGGGGGCACTCACGCTTGTGAACTTAGGTTCCACATCACACACATCAGTCTGCATACAATGTATTAGGTCCGCAGCTGTGTGCACCGGACCGTGACCTTGTACTGTTCAACACAGATACACAAACCATCGCATTTGGAGTGAAGCCATTTAATGCTTTTAGCGCAGTAGAAGTATGAAATCAATACAAAAGGCACAGCCAGTGTAAGGTGGCGAGCAGCGGCGTCATGTGGTCATATGTTAGGTTCACTCTGCTCATGCTTCTGTTCAGTGCCTGTGATGTCACTGTGATGTCATGTGTTTACTATACAGGGTTTCCCGATGATGAACCACGGCACCCCTCTGGTGTTGAACCTGCAGCCGGGGCAGACGGTCCAGCCGCTCACCTTGATCCAGTGTAGGACATCTGAACGCCACCAGACAATAATCAATCAGAAATAAGATCTGATTATCAATCGGATCACTCATCACTCCTGTTTCCTGTTTCCTGTCCTCACAGCCCCGTCGTTGGGTCAGTTGGTGCGGCCCAGCGTAGGCGTGTCTCCAGTCCTCCCTCAGGGCCAGGCAATTCAGACCAGACCAGGCCCCGCCCCCTCCAGAGGCCCCACCCAGCCTGGCTCCACCTTCACCACCATGCAGCTGCCCGCCACGTTGACCATCCGCACCAGCACGCCAGGACCTGGTTAGCCTACAGAAATCTGATTAGAACCGATTGATTGATTGACATGTACATTGATTGATTCTTTGTTTTCTCCAGTTAACCTTCAGATGACCCAGGTGGGCGGAGCCAGCTCCCTGAAGGTGGGAGGTTCCCCCGCCCTTCCCTCTGGCTCGGCCAATGGAGTCACCAGAATCACGTTCAGCCGCGGTACGGGCAGAGCAGTTATTGATAGTGGTACTACGGTTACTTTTTAAAATCTGGTTCATAATTATACGTCTATAAACATGTTTTACTTGCTTTGTGTTGCTGTAAATTTTAAATATCTAATTTGTACAACAAAGAAATTCCACAATGATTTTCATCTTTGAGAAGACAGATTATCGGTTCATTTTGGTTACGGCTCAATAAAAATAACAGATTACAGAAATAACAAGTGAAAGGAAACGCTACTGGTACAGAAGCTGCTTCGTCTCAGCCTTAAATATCTTAAAAAATTTATGAGATGTGTGGATGAATAACCTTCTCTATGAAATCTCAGGAATAAATGTCTCCTCAAAAACCCTTATTAACATAACAATGATATAAAAACAGAAGAATTTTTACAGAATTCATTACGGGCTGCAAGACTTTTATTGTGAAGGAGAGCAGGAAGTGCTCACCTGATCACAGCTGGTCCAAACTCTCACCTGTGGAACATCAGGGTCCTGTTAACAATCACCTCGTTCAAACTTGTGCAGTGCGACTTTATTGTGTTACCATGGTTACCGTGCTTCATGACTCTGTGTGTCACTTGGTTCAGCAGCTCCTGGCCCCGCCCCCTCTGTCGTCACCACCCCAGGTGTGACATCATCAGCGCCGACGTCCGACCCCACCAGAGTGGTGATGAGTGTGGAGGAGTTTTACTACGGAACTTATGAGGGCGACTTGAGTCTGAGGAAACCTCAACCACTGGGGATCAAGACCTGCACTTTCACCTGCCAGAGCTGCTCACACCTGGCCGAGAACAACCTGAGGTGGGACCAGCGAGCACCTGTACACTCCTGAGCACCTGTACACTCCTGCACTGTCCTGCTGCAGCAGCCCTTATGTTTACTTTTATATGTGTGTGTGTGCAGGTTGATGCAGCACATGCTCCAGCACTCAGAGCTGATTGGAGCACGAGGAGCAGGTGATGAGAGGACGTGCTGCAGGTTCTGTTACCGACAGTTCTCATCTCGTAGTCAGCTCCAGAGCCACCAGGAGCAGGTGCATGGCCCCACCCTCTCCTCCAGTAAGAACCACACCTGGTCACACACACCTGAAAATATAAAACCAATGTGTTTTCCTGGACTGGACTTATGATACTTCTTTTCTCTCGCAGGTATGTGTCGTATTTGTGAGTGGGCGTTTGAGAACGAGCCGGCCTTCTTGAACCACATGAAGTCCAACCACAAACCAGGAGAGATGCCCTACGTCTGCCAGGTGAGTACGACCTCTGACCTCTGACCTAATTAACCCGGCTGCCCTCGGGCCTCATTAACTCAGGTGTGATTTTCAGGTGTGTTCGTTTCGCTCGTCCTTCTACTCGGACGTAGTGCAGCACTTCGCCAGCTTTCACAGAGAGTCTCGCTTCCTGTTGTGTGTTTTCTGCCTGAAAGTGACCAGAAACCCAACCAGCTACCAGCAGCACCTGCTGAAACACCAGGTAACCACACACACAGCTCATAATATATATATCACTGTACATATATGTTTTATAATATATATATATATATTTGGTGTAAGTTTTCAGTATTTGGTGAAAACACAAACAGAAAACAAGCTTTTTGTCATTTATTTTGAGAAACATTAACAATCAACTGACCTATTATCAATAATTCTCAGTGAAAGATAAAGCCCTGCCCGAGACTTTTGTTTAGTATCCCGCTCCTGCCCTCTCCTCATTGATATCTGACCATAACCGCCCTCTCCTGCAGAGTGTTTTATCTATTACTGCCAATTCCCGCAGGATCTGTGTCAGCTTCCTGCACCCTCAAACATTAGCCACTTTTACATGGCCTGTTCAAGGCAGGAATATTGCGCCGCCATGCGGCCTGGCCATGCTGTATAGGGTACGATCACGGAAAGGGGGTGCAGAGTTGTCTCACCTCTGAGCCAGAAACGGAAGTAGTAACAGCCCCAAAATGAGTTCTGTGTAAAACATAAAGCCAGAAAGACGTGACCAGGGAGGGGGAGGTGTGACGTATTGATTACCTGTTATGCAGCGGGAGATTTAAATAGCAGCTGTTAGCAGTTAGAGGCTAACTCATAGAAGAAGAACAGTGGCTGTAAATGTCTGCAAACTGGGAAAACAATGAGATTCAGGAGCTCCTTACCCTCCGAGCAGAGGATGAGATTAGTTGCCATGTAACAAAGAAGCTAAACGGTTGTGATAGACATGTTATGCCATTCTTATTGTCAATTAAGTGCTGCTGACGCGTATGTTATGTCACACCATGAGGTCGATGCTGTTGTGTTACATGTCACACCTGTCACGTCTCCTGTAATTGTGTTATGCTGGGATGCAGTTTGTTATCACACATTAGAGTGGAGTGATGCCACCGTCGATTGGTTCTGTGTAAAAATGCAAAGGAAATTTTGGTAAGATAAAAAGTTTATTATGGGTCATTCAGAAGTCATGGAAAAGTTTTCAAGCCGCTCTCCTCCTGCTCTCTGTGCCCAGTTGACATAAGCTCACACAGCGGCAACAGTAGCAGCTAACATCCGACACCGAGCCGTTCAGCATTCCCAACAATCTCACACCGACACCAAAACAGCTCCACTCAGTTGTTTCATTCTTAACTAACCGTTGGATAGCCGTGTGATGCTAACCGTTAGCCCTATCACTGTGTGTGTGACAGAGCTCGCACCCCCACAGTGGGACACAGCAAATCAGTACTCTGTGTGTAGCTCTACAGAGAAGGGCTCATTTTAAATGGTCAAATTTGTGGTTAATTTGTGGTGATTTGACGGAATTGCAAGGTCGTGCAGAACTGTTGTTGCGACATCAAGGAGGGACTGTCTGTGTGACCTGTACAGGTAAACATGCTAACCTGACTAGCATAGTTCAGCTAACAGACAACAGTTGTTACACTGAGTTTATGTTCGTTATGATAGGTGTGTTGACCTCATTAGACAGTAATTACTTTGTATGGAACCAAACATCCTGCAGTGAACAGTCGGGGATCAGTTCTGTTACATCCATAATTTATGTTTCATTTTTATAAAACGTCCTCTGTGTCTCTGTCCGTCCGTCTTCTCCCTCAGGTCAACCAGGCCTTCCACTGTAACAGGTGTCGTCTTCAGTTCGTCTTCCTGAAGGACAAAATGCAGCACAAACTGGAAAACCACCGCAGCTTCCGGCGACCTGCGAGGCTCGACGGACTGCCACCAGGGTCAAAGGTCAGCTCACTAGACTCTGAACCCCTTACAAGGCTTGTCTGGACTCAAGTCCCGTCCCCGGCTGTTCTCATTATTGATTCATGTGTCTCCAGGTGACGATCAGGACTTATGGGAAGATCAGGTCTCTGGGATCAGGAGGTAGCCGACCTTTCCAGAGCCCCGCCTCCCTCATCCAGCCAATCAACATCAAGACAGAGAAGTCTCCGACCCAGAGGAGCCCTCCCTTCCAGAAATCACCTCGATCACCAACCAAGAAACCGGTCAGCCGCAGAGTCCACAACAGGTCAGACTTTCTAAAAAACCTTAAGGTTTCTCCTGAGGGTGGCGCCAGAGGGGAGTGTCATGTCGAAATCAGTTGGTCTGAACTACATGATACATAACAGATAAAAATAGTGACTTTGCCGGGGACTATTTTCAGCGGCCGATTAATCCTCATTTGCTGCTCTATCTCTCTATCAGTGTTTAAATGTTGGATACAAGTTGTATAAAAACTCATGGTAGTATCTGTATTGAGGTTAAATATTGCCTCGTCTTGTCTCTTGCAGGTCTTCCTCATATGATGGAGACCGGTTGGTGTGTTTGGAGTGTGGAACCGACGCCTCTGACTTCTCGGCTCACTACCCAACTCACGTGACCTGTCTGCTGTGTCCCTACAGCAGCTGCTGCTCCAGGGCCTACGCTACCCACATGATCCAGTGAGAACACACTCACAGTACCGCTCACTGTACTGCAGTAATAAAATAAAATGAAACTAAAAGTTAAAGGTTATTAAGAAGCCTGAAATGAAAAGCAGGTGGTGAAAGTTAAATGGAAATATATTCAAAACGCATTAATTGAAACTCTCACATTAAATTGAATAATGAACTGAAATGTTAAAATTCTCTCTCTAAACAACAACATGAATTTATTCACCATCTTCCTTGTTTCCTTTTATGATGTTCAGTCTTTATCCTCTCTGATTCTGACTCTTGTTGTTTGTTGTTTTCAGTCACCACGTGCCGCCATCCAAAGACAAAGTTCTTCCTCTGCACCGACTGCCTCCTCCATGGTGAGACCCACTGCTCATCAATCACTGATTGTTTATCGATCACTGAGCTGCGTTCAGTTTGAGTTGTGCCACTTGTTCCCAAAGAGAAAAGCAGAGCAGAGTCAGATGAAATGGAAACAAAAAATTATATAATCAATAACTATCAGACTTTCAAACAGACACCTCCTCATGTTTCATTCATGCTCACAATTCTTACAAAACTTTATTGTCCATCACAGTGTGACCGATTTGTGTTAGTGCTGCAGTGACTCAGTCTGACCTGCAGGTGTTGCTCTTCATCACTGAAACTCCTTTGACCATCACAACAAAACAGTGTACATGAATATTAATGAATGTGAATGTTAAAAACTGCAGGTTTTACTGTCTTCATGGAGAACAGATGTTTTTACATGTGGAGCTGTTTGTGTTCAGACAGTCTGAAAATGTTCTTCTTGTATTCTGTATCCTGCTCTCTAACGTGAAACATCTGAGTTTAAATTTAATTCTGTTCATCTTCTTCAACTTTATTTATTGGTAAAGGTGAACACACAAACTGTACAGGACCAGAGTCTGTGAACAACATACTGTACGTATCACATCTGGTCTGAATGGTAAGAATGTTGATCAGCGTTTCACACAATCAGAGGAGTTCTGATCAGATTTAAAACTAATTCAACTCAGCTTTGATTTTAACTACTGAAGCTGTTTTCTATAAATGATATCAGGCCTTATTTAGACAACCTACAGTACATGGTGTAAAGTGAGTTTAGGGCGAGTCCAACCACTTCTGCCTGTTAAACAGAGCATAATTTGGGCATGAAGTAAAGTGCAAGGGGCAAAGGGTTTGTATTTAGTCCCTTCATTATTCATAGGTGTGTTTTGGATGTAACATGAATTCAGCCCATCAGAGTGTCACCTTCCAGTCCCTTTAAAGCACACCTGGCAGCTATTTACATGGTGGATTTAGCTAGGTGGAGCAGTGAGCGGTTTTCTGCTGAGAGTAATACAGTAACAGCAGTGATGTCCCAGCAGCAATACCGTGGGACATTTAAGCGGCAAAACAGTAAACTTGACAGAGGAAACATAACTAAACTTTTAGTGTCTGAAATAATCAAGGAATTAATTCTGCTTCTGATGCATAAATGCTCTCAGCGTCTCTCTTAATGAGGAGTCAGACAGCAGCTGTGCTCTGCTCTGCTATGTTCGTGCTTTAAATAATGTGACAGCCTCTGATAACAAACCATGGCTCTACTAGAGACCGGAACATATAAAGGATGCCACAGGTTGCAGAGATAAAAAATCAGCATATTTTATTGTTTGCACAATTGGAATCAGACTTAGAGCATAAAGAAACAAAGGGAGTTGGAGATCCCGGCCAAAAGAAATAAAAGATGTGAAAGTCGCTGTGCAGCCACTCAGCGAGCCATAGCACCCAGTTCATCCCCCTAAACTAAACTAAACTAAATGGAACCAAACAAAATCTGAGAACTGAACTACCAGCCATCTCAAACCCAAACAAATGTAACAAAACCCAACAAGGTAAATGGTGCTAGGGAACAAGGCAGGAATGACAACTATCACCCACGACATCTGCTGGGCTGTTGCGGGCATGTGTCTCTGTGTCTCCCCCAATCTGCCCCTCAGCTCCCTTTGATTCTCTCCTGCCAAATTGCTCTCAGGTCCTGCGCTCCTGGAGGAAGAGATAGGGAGAGAGAAGACACAACAAACACTCAGTAGGGTGTGCAATACAGCACAAGGTCACATGTAACAAATAATATTTTCCTCGTTAATGATGGATTATTTCACCGGCCTGCAAATCATCTGTGTGTCCCTGTGTGTGTTTCTAACAGACTGTACGTACGTTGTGAACAGGCCTCTGTAGGAGCATGTTATTATCTGAATATTGCTCCCTTCAAATAGCAGGAAAATACTGCGCCATTATGACTTTTGACCAGGTTTTTGTTGATCAATGGCACAGTCGCTTTCTGCAATACGCCTAAAATGCACCTGACCACATCTTATTTAAGACCTACATGCCCATGGGCGCACAGATGGGTGCAAGTCCATTGCTACTCACATAAAGTGTTCATTATTAAAGTGATATTAATGAAAACAAACCTTTTTTATTGTGTGTTTCAGTGTGTTCCTGCTGCAGTGCTCTAACTGTGACTATAAGCCTCACACTGCAGATCAGATGGCTGACCACCTGCTGATGAACCCAGATCACTACAGGGCCACCTGTCGAACCAGGAGTAAGACTGCAACACACACACACACACACACACACACACACAAACTGTGAAATCAGAGTTTAGCTGATTCACTTCCTGTTAAGATAACACAGTAATGAGTGATTTCACAAAGGATGGATTGCGGCCGCTGATAGCACCATGAATTTCACCTTGTTTGCGACAGCTATCGGCCTCGTCTGAAGGTCTGAGTCACAAAGGATACTGTACTAATGATGTCACAGTGCAAACAGGCCCATAAAGTTTTGCATCCGTGTGCAGTTTGCACCTTTTGTTGTCTGATTACAGTTATCCATGTGCCAGAGAATAATGTTGCCTAAACGCCAAGAACACAGCGGGCAGAGAAAGGGAGAGAGAAACAGAAAAGCTACAGGTTCTGACTGACGAGCTGCAGAGGCGTTCCTCTAAACTTCAGACAGGAGTTAAAATGTGACACAGAGAAACTGTATTAGGATTTAATATCCAAATCTGTCAGTGCACTTTGTTACCACCAAATCTAATAATTTCACTGTAAACTGCATGTGGCTGTTAGCGCTGGTCATTTTAAACTGAACTGCTTAAAGTAAAGTTGCGAAATCGTTTTGTGTATTTGTTTCTAATGCTTTTAATCAGAGCACAGCAGGTCGTCTGGAAACAGCACCGAATAAAAAAACTGAATGATAAATAAAAAATGTTTTCATTGTAAATGATGCAGTTTTTTTTTTAAAGAAAATAACAAATACTCTTAAACCAGACACAACTGTTTAAACTAAGTGTCTCATTTTTCCAAATTGCATCCTTCTTTCCAAGAAATTATTGAGAAACAACAGGGCTGAAAAAAATCGTAAAAGGTTGTTTATAAACTCAGTATGTTTACATGACATTAGAGGACACTGATTTATTGTGTTACTTTTAAAGTACATGTAAACATGTCAGTCTGACTGAAATCGTACTCTCAAAGTTGGACTTACACACCCAGATAATAGCCCCTTTTACACTGCCAGATTTTCCGCGAATGCTGCGAGCGTCTAGACACACAGAGCCAGAAAGGTGAGTTGATCCAAGGCGCCCAATTTTCCGCCTCGTAGGGTAGTTATATTCTAGGGATGCACCAAAATGAAAATTTGTGGCCGAAGCCGAATAATATTAAACGCTTGGCCGAATACTGAGTACCGAATAACGTTGTTTAGTTTTTCATTAGTTTTTGCAGATGAACCCCCTCCAGATTAGTGTTGTCACGGTACCAAAATTGGATCCCACTGTACGATACCAATGAAAATATCATGGTTCTGAGTAGTATCACGATACCACAACGAAAATGAGACAGATGTGCCTTTTGTCATTTATGAAAAGATAAATCACTTTTCTATAACACATCAATGATATTTCAATGGAATAAATTACTTATTAACTTATTCATACTTCAAAAACAGCATCAATAAGTGATGAACATAGGGGGTGTCAAAATAAAATAAATAAATAAAATAAGAATCAACCAGCCACCCTCCTCCCGACAAGTCCCTTCATAAGTAAAGAACAGTCCCTAAAGTGCGGTGAGGTTTGTGGGCCGTGAACGGCTCGTTTCTCCTCTGACACATCACATACCTGTGTTCGGCTGGCTCGGCTGTTCAGGTACTTCTGGGCAGTCCACACGCCAAGAAGAGGATATCATTGGTAAGCCAATGGCCGCTGCATTTGACAGGAATACATAACTGTCTGTCTGTAACCCCCGTTCAACCCACAACCGGTGGGATTCGCCTTTCGTTTCTGCTGCTGGTTGAAATCTGTAGGCTGCTCGCACAGCGTGCTGAATGATTTAAGCCTATTTTGCTCGCTCAAAACTATTTTAGCCGCAAATGCGAGTGCAGTGAGGGACGGATCGCCACATTGCCGACATTTTACTCCGCGCGTCACAGCACGCTGTTTGATTGCGTTATCAAAACACGCCGCTATTATTCGGCCTTGCTTTTAACTTATTCCACCGAATACCGAATGTGTGGTTTTTTTTGCAATATTCGGCCGAATATATTCGGTTACCAAATATTCGGTGCATCCCTATTATATTCGCGGAACCCTTTAAGTTTAAACAGACCGAGGCGGCCTTCCGCAATGGGAGGGGCTGTTGATGATGACGCAAGTGCGAACCACTGGCGGTGGATAAACAGGAAACAGCTGATAGCAGGAATTAGCGAGCAGCTAGTAGCAAGAGGGAAACACAAACCTGACAGACACTGTAAAGATGAGCAACTGGGGAGACAAGGAATTGCGCGCCCTCCTTGTCCTCGCAAATGTAGAGGCCATTAACCGTCGGATAACAGGAATGGTAAAGAACAGGCCAATTTACAAGAGAATCGCCGCCTGACCAGCCGCGGCTTCCCTCCCACGTCACTGTTTACGTCACACGCTGAGCTACACATTGTGTTACTTGCTCACGCCCCCCATTGCCCCGAAAAAGGTGCATTCTGCATAAACAAAAGTAGGTAGGTGGCATTTTGCTGCACTCCCCGATTTTGTTTTTATACTGCCAATGCTGAAAAAAGACTGATTGGACTTTCCTGCAAATTTGCACAACTCCTATCTAAAAAGGGCTAATGTGATTGGGACTCGAATTCCTCCTGCATGTATACAGTCAATCAGACCCAAACTAGCCTAGTCACTCTCCACGTGCTCCACAGTTTCCGCCCTGAAAGCATTAAATGTGTAACAGAAGAAGAGGCTGGTAACAACATGGAGAAATCTATATCCAGAGCCGTGTATTTTTGGACGGACAAAATGTACAGAGCTGTAAAGTTGTCCACCATGATACCAGTTAACTTGTTAATCGATTGTTTGTTCTGTGACGTAATAGGTCAACAGGAAAAAGGTCCAATCATAACAAGCTGAAAGGGGGCATATCTCCACCTATCATAGAAGAGTCGGACATAGTTTGGTTATTAAAACAAATCCCCTCCCCTGCTTGTATACTGGGACAATGACAGAAGTCCAATTAAATGGCCTAGTTGAACTATAACCGTAAACATACTGAATTTTAATCATGATGTCTCTCTCACTCCAGAGTCTAACACCAAAGATCCTGCAGGCATTTGAACCTTTATTGACTTACTGATATCAGAGATAGATCCATATTTGTAATTCCTCCTGTTACAAGTTCATTTTATTATATTGTATTAAGAAGCTTCGCTTTTCTCAGATCTGCTCCTGTTTGAATTTTATTTTAACCTTGACAATCAGTCTGAGGGTCAACACCAGATTTAAGTCACTGATTTAGAGTTGTGTAAACAGGCTGTTAGAAGTCACCTAAATGTGTGTGCTCCATCTTAACTGATGGGATCACCACCACAAACTAAAACCTTGATTAGATGGGCTGCATATCTCACAATGTCTCATAATGATAACATAAGGATCTGGTTATTAGTAAATGAATGAATGAATGTTTCTGTAACATGACCTCCTGACTTAATCAGCTCTTCTACATAACACAGACTTCCAGCTGGTCACAAGTTCAGTGTTACAGTGTCCAAAGTCAATATTTCACCCAGTAACCAGTGTTCGTGTGACCTGTTGTCGCAGTTTAACTTGGACTGACAGGACCTGATTGCATTCAGGCAGTATGTATTTCATAATATTCGCTCAGATAAAAATTAAGGTCAAAAGAGGGACTGCTGCAGATCTGATAAAAGCTGTAAAACATCTACAGATTTGACATCAGCCAACTGAACTTTAGTTTTTCAGCTCTCAGCTTTTCCTCCTGCGTGCTCTGTGTCTCTTAAATCAACCCTTTCCTAGTGGGGGGGTCTGACAGTGTGCTCCTGGCTTCAGCCGGAGCCAAAGTAAATAAAACTGACCCGCGTGAAGGTTCAGTCTCGCTCCTTGACGCCATGACGCCGTAGAAATAAACAGTATTGTATCTGGAACAGTGTGTTTACACATCAAGATGGCTTCCAACATGATTTGCTGCCAGTTTAGAGAAGAATCATTGTGTTAACTTCTAAAATTTATTACCCTCAAAAACATCCAGAGAAACTTCTCTAATGACTCCTTCAGCCCGTCCACGTCTCCACAGTCAATCAGTGTGTTCTGATCAATCATCCTGTCGCAATAAATCTCTGAATACCACACTAACCCTGGTTCTTGTTTTGTTACACTGGCTTCCTGGCAAATTTAGGAATGAATTCAAAATACTTTCAGTGCCTGATGTAGTTTCCCAGTGAGCTCTGGATCCCAATCAGGTGTAGGGTTTGTTACCAAAACTGCAGGGGCTCCTATACAACCGGTGCCAAAATGACTCGCAGCCCAGATTTTGGTGGCTCACTTAAGTGCAGGATTGTTTCGAGAGAGGAAGAGAGAGAGTGTGTGTGCGTACGTGGCGGAGGACAGTGAGGCTGCTGCTCACGGAGCAGACAGTGTGAAGTATAAATAAATGCCTAAACTCAAGAGCCAAGCCAAGCTCGAGTGTGTTGTTTGCCCCTTGCTGATGAAAGTGAAGATGGTTCGCCTTGAAGTTCGTTAGCGAAGTTAGCCTCCCATTGGAACCTGACCAGACTCATTTAAGGTGGACTGTCAAGGTTGACCAGCTATATTCTCATTGTTGTGACGAGCTCAGCCGCTCTTTAACCGATAATGAAGAAATGTCCACCTGCTGAGTCTCTCCTGAGTTATGGAGACAATTATTGGTCATTAGAAGCAGTAGTAGTAGTAGTATTACTGTATTGTAACTTTCTAGTGTTATTATAGTTGGGTGAGGTTTTATTTATTAAATAAACGTGTTAATAGTGTTATATGTATTCAGAATTATATATTTAATCATACTTTAAACTGAAGAATTAAAATATTTTTATATTAATATATTTTTCAAATTTGCCTTTGCAATAAAAAAGCAACGATGGGTCGGGGTTTGAACCCTGGGGAAGCCCTTCTGTGTGGAGTTGCATGTTCTCCCCATGTCAGTGTGGGTTTTCAATACAATTATGGCGTACCTCCATCAGGCGCTGCTGCAGCACCACTCCCTGTTTGTCTCGACTAGCTGGGTAGATGTTCTGTTGTGGAGAAACCGAGAGTTCGACACTTACTGAAACCAGATCAGCAGTGAAGAAATGGATTGTGCTGCAGGAGATTTGAAAAGTCTCTACAGATCTTTGAGTTTTAAGTTAGTTATAAGGAACACTGAATTTGTTTTGATATTGATGTTACCAGAAAAATGATAAATCAAAGTTAATTTGTCTCTTCTTTTCAGCCTACATTGAACCTGATATCCAGTTCTGCCACAGTGAAGATCAGCACTCAGAAGAAAGGGAAACAGCCCAGAACAAGGACTTGCCTGATCCATCCTGGAGGTTAGCAGAGTGTTGGAAAAATCCATCAGAGAGCAACAGCTCCAAGTCCCCCATCATGTCGTTCACACAGACCAGTGGGCCTCGTCACTTCCTGTCCAAGAACACGGACGCCATCGACTTCTTTAACCTGCTCTTTCCTTCAGCACTCGTAGAGCTGATCACCAATGAGACCAACACCCATGTCAAGACCTCTCAGTTCCTGGGCGCCTGCTACCCAGACTGGGTCCCTGTCACAACCCATGAGATCAAAGGTTTCATCGGCCTGGTCATTCTGATGGGGATCCAGAATCTTCCTGACCTTTCACATTACTGGTCCTGGAATCACTACGACAATAGCTATACCTTCTACCGCGCCATGAGCTTCAAACGCTTCAAGCAGATTGCTGCCAGTATCCGCATGGGCAGCTTTGCCACAGATGAGTATCGTGGCATCAGCAACCCCAGTGACCCGCTGCACATCTTCAGGCAGATGCTGGATATTCTGGGTGGAGCTATGTGGGACGCCTACAAGCCGAATTGCTGCCTGTGCATCGACAGAGCGCTGCTGCCCAGCTTGGAGGAGGAGCGCTGCAATGCCAAAGGGAATCCAAAGACCCAACCTCAGGTGTGGCTGCTCTGTGATTCCAAGTCCGGCTACTGCCACCGCTTCTTCATCCAGGTGGGGGAGAAGGTGGGCCAGGAGCCGGGCTTCACTGTGGTGCCGGAGCTGGTGAAGGATCTGGAGGACAAACACCACCAACTTTACCTGGCTAATTCGCTTATGTCTGTCCCACTCATGCAGAAGCTTCTGGACCAGGGCATCTATGCCTCCAGCTCCTTCCCTCCACGTAATTCCATCCTGCCCAAAGAGCTGTGGGAGGAGGGCCAGCTTGAGAAACCTGGGGACTTCCTGCAGAAACAGTTTGGCCCCCTGCTGGCCACTCGCTGGAGGGACACTAAAGAGATGGGCTGCCTGTCAACTAATGCAGCTCCAGGTGAACAGGACACTGTTTGGAGGAGGTCTCAGACCAAAGCGGGTGAACTGGACCCCATTGCCCGCCCCATAGCTTTCAGCCTCCTGCAGGAGAACATGCGAGGGGTTGACATCTGCAAACAGTTGCTAGCCTGCAACCCTCTGGGAGGAATCCCTCAGGACCGACACTGGCGCAGCCTCTTTTGGTTTCTGGTCAACCTGAGCATTGTCAACGCCTTCATCGTGCTGCGGGAGAGCCGCAAAGAGAACCCACCGGCCTGGGTGCAAGACGGCCTTTTTACTCAAGTTAACTTCAGAAAGCGATTGGGAAACCAGCTCGCCAAATGTGCTCAGAAATACTTTGAGACCATGGAGATTGCCAGCTCGCGCGGGATGAGGGTGGAGGCACCAGAGGAAAAGGTTAAAGAAAGACACAGGATGGTGAAGCTTAGCGCAATCTCCAAGAGGTGCAAAAACTGCAACTTGAAGAACATCCGCCATGAGAGTGTGTACGGCTGCGTCATCTGTCAAGCAAACCTGTGCAATCAGTCCAACTGCTTCTGGGAATATCACGGCCTGTCACCTGTAAACAAAGGTCCGTATTATAAACAATTAATTTCAAAAGGTTAAGAAGTTTATTTGTAACTGTTTGACTTTGCATGATTAAAGATTCTGACAACAGATGTTTGATGTTTATAACAGGATCAGCAAAGGTTGGATTTATCAAGGACAAAATAAGGTAATCTTTTTCCTTTAATCTATCCACATACAACATTTATTCCCCTTATTTATTTAATATGCTGTTAATTTCGGAACATGCTGATGTAATAAAACTTAGGTACACAGCCATGCTGTATTTAAGTGGTAACTCAAGGTTCCAGAGTGAGACCATTTTAGTCGCACATGCAACCAAAAATCAGTGCAATTAATTATTTTTATTGGTTTCACTGGTGAGCTTTACATGTCGTGTCTGGGTGTGTATTTGTGAAACCACACTGTGCTCCCCCTCGAGCGACATTGTAACCTTAAAACATACCAGTAATTCATAATGAAGAGGATTGTTGACCTTTTTTGTCAATAAATACGCTGTGATGCTCGCTACATCAGTCTCTGGCCCAGCCCAGACCCGACATCATCAACCCTGTCCTCAGTACAATGCCCAATCCTGACCCAACATCTTCAGCATTTGCATTTACATTATGTGTTAAAAAGTTGCTGATGTATAAGGAAACTATCCTAAAAAGTAACTTAAAATGTATTATTGCAGCGCAGAAAGGCCCAGTGAAAGTTCTTGGGTGCACCCAAATGAAAGCGTTGGGTGTATCTGTGCAATCGATGTAAAAAGTTAGTCTGGAGCCCTGTAACTCATCTGACGTGTCTGGAAAACTTCGAATTTTCGAATGATGCAAACCATTTCAAGACACAGTCACAACAGCAGGTACAATCCACAGCTCAGACCACCATCAAATAAACAAATTCACCCATGAAGCCTCATTATGATCCACTGATCAATAACATTCCAACAGAAAGGATCCTGATACATTAGCAAAGGTCCAGATATCCAATCCAGCAAAACATTATTAGATCAACAATACCTACAGACTGCTGTTGGATTACTTCAATTTAGCCGGCAGATGTACCTAATTTTCCACATATTCTCCATCATATCTCCTGTTTGCAATAACATTACCAATATCTTGGTATGAGAACGGCGACTGCGCTCTGACCTTTGGATTGACACCTCGCTTGACTCAATAGGAGCTTCCAAGTCCTGTCCATAGTCTACAATAGCCAACAAGAGCTGTCGAAAGGAAGTGCCTGACCCTCTTCATTAATGTTAACACCAAGCCAATATTAACTGATGTGCTAATGACTGACACTTTATATAGCCAATGACATTCCGAAAATGAAGATATGCAGTATCAGTGGGTTGATTTAAAGCCACAACAAGGAAGTCTGCGCGTAAAGGGAGAACTACCTGCTGCCAGTGCCATTTGTGTTCGTTTGTAAAAGGCAAAAAGTGTGGGTTCTGAGAGTTTTGGAGACTTTGGAGAGGAATAATGGTGAAAAGTACAGGGAAAATGAATTATACACTCCAAGCAGCGCTGGAAGAATATACTCCTTGTGAAAGCATCGAAATATCTGACGAAGAGAGCAAAATGCTGTCTGTTGACTCCAAGGCATTGGCAATGTTTCTGCAGGAAGGAGACATTACTCTTGACAAGTAAGTATTTTATTATTATAATTATAACAATATAGTGTATATATTACTGTACATTTCAATATAACTAAGCTTTAGTTTAAGTTATGGATACACATATTGTAGACTGTCTTTCCCCGTGTCCTTCACACTGAGCCTGCTGACCTCTTGGGGCAGGGCTCCAGACTAACTTTTCACCACCATACCAAAACCGTTCTGAAGAACAATTTAAACCATCCCTAAGTCAATGTTAGCCATTCAAAAATCAAAATATTGTTTCTTCACTTTTGTTATCTTTAGGGATGCCCAGAATATATTTGACCAGTTACACATGCCGTTCTGTAAGTTAATTTTGCTACCCTTCAGTTTACTGCACTGTACGCCACCTGGGTCTGGTGGGAGCTAGCTAGCGCCAGTCATTCAGCAATTACCACTAGTAACAGCGTTCCAACCTAACAGCGCTGCTGGAGAAACGTTGCGCCCACCCTCAGGTCTCCCCACAGGTCTCACTGTAAGTAAGCAATTTCATTTCTAGCTGCAAAATCCCCTTTTATTGTTAATCATGTTATCACTGTTAGCACCGTTAGCATTGTAAGCAGGCTAGTGGTGCAAGTTAACAATGTTACTGGGTTTTGCGGCTCAAAATGAAGCAGCTTGCTCACCAGAGCTACCTGGGGGGAGACTTAATGATGGCCAAATTGTTTCCACAGCAATGCAGTCCAGCCACCACAACGGTGTTTCTAGCAGCAATAGTGAATGAGTTAGTTTTCCATTAGTGCATGAAATGTTCAGATGGTCTTTCGGTTTTTATTTTCAGTTCTCATCACACAGGTATATCATATTATTCTGAGCTGCAGTGATGGAATCAGAGTGTAAAATCAGCCACCTCGGTAGCTAACGTTATCTCTCCAGGAATGAAAATAAACTTTGCAAAATGAAAATGCATTCAAAATCAAAGGCAGCCAAATAATCCGCAGAGGTCTCCTCTTCTCCAAAACAATCAGACCCAGACTGGGACATGGCCAAGATGGGCTTCTCTGACACTCTTCGGTTGACAGAAGACCTCCAAGCGGGGGGGGGGACGGACTGGAGCTACCGCTAACGTTAACTCAACTTGTCTCTCTGATAACTTAAGAGTTGACTAGAATCTTTTTTCTGGTTAAAACTTAGCTAAGAGCGACCAAAATCAATAAAAAGGTGACAATGACGTGATTTGAAACAGAAAGATAGTAGTTGGCTGGAAATGTCTCAATGTCTGGCTATCCTGCTGACAGTCGATGCTTGTGGAAAACTCTGTAATGAGCAATGCTGCCAGCCAGCTAACTCCCAGATGTTGCGCAGAGCGGCTAAGGCCAGCTAACCAGTGGAGACCAGAGGGTGGACAATGGGTACTATGTTTCCGCATGCTAATGCAGCTAGTTGGTTGTTTGTCAGCAAAGCCAGCAGAAAATAAAATAAAAGACAAACATAACATTAAAACTTCACCTCTGAGGACACAGCCCCACTCAGGCTGAGTAAGGTACCCGAGACGTCCCTCTTCTCAACAACGTTTTCCAGCTACTCCTGGGGATCCCGAGGCATTCCAAGGTCAGATGAGATATATATAAAAAAAAAATCATATTCTGGGTCTGCCTAGGAGCCTCCTACCAGTTGGACTGAGGGCTAACTGAGGGCGCCCAGTAGGCAACCCAATCACAACTACCCCAAGATACTTTAATTCCTTTGCGTGGGGCATTAACTCTACCAACCCAGCATGGGCAATCCATCATTTTCCAGAAGAAAACCATGGCCTCAGACTTGGAGATGCTGACTCTCATCCCGACTGCTTCACACCCGGCTGCAAACCGCCCCAGTGCATGCTGGAGGTCATGGTGTGATGACGCCTACAGAACTACATCATCTGCAAAGAGCAGAGATGCAATCCAGCCCATCCAGACACTGTTCCACTGGCTGTGCCTTGAGATCCTGTCCATGAATATCACAACGAGGATCAATGGTAAGGACAACCCTAGCAGAGGCCAGCACCCACTGCAAAAGTGTTTGACTTGGAAAGTATACAAACACAGCTCTTACTTTGGTTATACAAGGACTGGATGGGTCGTAGCAGCAACCACGACACCCTGTATTCCAGCAATACCCCCCACAGGACTTCAAGGTGGATGCAGTTGTAAGCTTTCTCCAAGTCCAAAACGCACAAGTAGACTGGATGAGCAAACTCCCACGACCCCTCCAGCAGCCCTGCAAGAGTAAAGAGCTGGTCCACTGTTCCACAGCCAGCATGGACTAAAGAGCTGGTCCACTGTTCCACAGCCAGCATGGACTCTATACTGCTCCTCCTGAACCTGAGGCTCGACAGTCGGTCAAAGCCTCCTTTCCAGCGCACTGGAATAAACTATCCCAGTGAGGCTGAGCAGTGTGATTCCCCGGTAATTAGAGCACTCCCGCTAGTCCCTTTTTTTAAAAATGGGAACCATCATCCCAGTCTGCCTCTCCACAGGCACTGTTCCCGACCTCTGTGCAACACTGAAAAGGCATTTCAACCAAGATGGCCCAGTATTTTTAACCGTTAATGGGTGTCAGGCTTCGGAAAGCAAAATTAAATTAAACTGATATCCCTAGTTTAAGTGGAGCAGTTTGTAATCTATAACAGCTACGTACACCTTTTGTTAAGAAAGTACAAGGACCTCTGCAGTGTACTTCAGTGCAGAGCATGAGTAAATGTATGTGGTTATTTCCATCTCTGACAGAGGTGTCTGTAACTCCAAATTCAAAGTCCTTTTACCACCTAACTGTACTCAGCTGAAGTACTTCAGCACATTTTAGTGTAAACTTGTCTTTTCAAATTAAACTGCAGTCCACTATTTAACACTTCAGTGTCCTCTGTACAGAAACTCTCAGTTCTGCTGTGTGTAGCTTAGTCAGCTGTTAGCTTTGATAGTATGTTATTTACTATAGCTCTACCAGCCGTTAGCTCCTTCAGCTAAACACAACACAGGACTTTGCTGCTTACCGGTTGCTAACAGCTAACTTGCTCTCCTGATGATTTTAACATGGCTTTGCTGTTCACAGTATAATGTTATCAGGGGAATAGCAGGGTGCATACCCTGGACACGTCAGTAGTGAGTTAAGTGGATCCTTCTGTATTTTAACGCGTTAGAGATGCAGGACTGGTCCTGCCAACAAGCTCTTTGTGACTGAGGAGATAGATGGGCTGGTACTGCTGGAACATTTGAGAATCTTCATGTTTTCATAGGTCTTGCACTGAATAGCAAGTCACTTAAAGTAACATCATCAAGATGTGCTTTGTTTTGGTTACCCCTCAGTTCAGTTCATCATCTGCTGAGCAATTGTTTCATACACGTATGGGAATCTCTTTTGTCCTGGCTAGCCAGCTAACTGCGTAAGCGTGCAGAAATATCATGCCCACAACACACCCTCTGAAAGCATAGTGTCCACTGCCAGCCCTCCAGTCTCCACTTGTCAGCTAACGTTAGCCTTAGCTGCTCAGCTCTGTGCACCAACTGGATCTGATGGGAGCTAGCTAGAGGCGCCACTCATTTGTGATCACCACTGGAAACGCTATCCTGGTGGCAGGATGCCATTGCTGTGGGGTTGCTGCCACCTTCCGGTCTCCCCCAGGTAACTCCAGAGAGTGAGCAGCTTCATTTTGAGCCGCAAAACTCCTTTAGCACTGTTTAACTATATTAGCACTGCTAGCCATGCTAACGGTGCTACAAGTGATAATTAACAATACTAAACAGTGTTTGTGGCTCAGAATAGAGGTGCTTGCACACTCGATTGCTGGTTAGCTCTCAACAGACCTGATTGGTGCAGTAAATTGAAGAGAAGCAAAATCAACCTATAGACTGGTCTACATAACAGTCAGAAATATTCTTAGCAGTTAACCGATCAACTTTTACTGTGTGCACAGCTGACGTGTGAGGCACCAAGTGGATCAAGTAGAATGTAGAGAAGATGGTAAAGTTTTAATGATGGAATTTTTTGTCTAGTTTGGCAAATGACTAAGTGTTGTTTCTTTATTTCCACATAGTAGAAAATCATCTGATGAAGATTCAGATACAAGTTGGGAACCGGATACTTCTCCAGTTAGCAAGCGGCCACGTACAGAGGAGCAGCAGGACAGTACCTCATCAGGAGAGGAGTCCTATTCCCCAAATCGCTCAAGAAGTAGTGCCAGCAGGAGACCAAGAGGCAGAGGACGGGGCAGAGGACGAGGACGAGGACGAGGGAGAGGGAGATGGAGAGGCAGCCACAGTCAAACTAGGTTGTCAACCAGTACATCTGGAGAGAAATGGAATGATGCTGACGACCTAGACATAACACCACCACAGCCCACCTTCAAACCCTCCCGTCCACCAGGACCCCAGCTCAAATGTTCATACCCATACACGGCCCTGCAGCTTTTCCAGCTCTTTTTTACTAACTCTATTTTAAAGACAATAATTCAAAACACCAATGACTTTGGCTTGAGGCACCACTCAACACGCGCCGACCCATGGATCGATCTGACATTACAGGACATGTTTTCATTCATGTCCTTGGTCATCTTCATGGGTGTAGTAGTATGCCCCACATATACTGATTATTGGCGAGGGGGTAACCTCTATAGCTTGAAGTTCCCAAGAGGGGTAATGACCAGTAAGATGTTTGAGAGGATCTGCAAGTCCCTTCACCTCAGTAGCTCAGTGAAGGAGGCTGCTAACAGGAGGAGGAGAGGCACAGCAGCCTTTGATCATCTTTGCAAAATAAAGCCCCTCTATAAGGAGATGAGGGAAGCCTGCAAAAAGAGCTATCATCCTAACCAGGAAATTGCCATTGATGAGCGAATGGTTGCCCCCAGCTCCCACACTGGGCTAAAACAGTATGTGAAAGATAAGCCTGTTTGCAGGGGATATAAACTCTTTATTTTGGTGGACTCCAAGAGTGGTTATACGTGGGACTTCCTTGTCCACAAGGGAAACATCCAGGGCAACAGTGGCAAGGGACTCAGTTATGAGTCAGTGATGGAGCTAATGGACACACAAAGGCTGGGCACCGGCTACAAGCTCTTTGTCGACAGTTTTTTCACAAGTTCCACCCTTTTCCGTGACCTCCTTCATAAGAGGATCTGGGCGTGTGGAACCATCCGCAGAAACAGAATTGAATACCCCAAAACAAACGACAACAGTCTGGACTCAAAGTCTCCCTGCGGAAGTATACGGTGGATCAGGAAGGACTCCGTCCTCTTTGTCCATTGGCGAAACCAGAGGGACATCTTCATTTGTTCAACACTCCACACAGCTCATGAGGAGGACATAGTGCAAAGGAGAGTCCAAGGTGCTGATGGGCACTCTGTGCTGAAGAACATCCCTGTTCCACTAGCAGTGAAGGATTACAGCCGGTACGTAGTGTGCATTCAACTGTGTTTCATGCCCTTTGCAATGTAGTGATTTGTGTGCTTGATATTTATGTTTTGATTTATTTTTCTCAATGTTATGTTTTTTCTGTTCATCCAGGTGCACGAGTAGAGTGGATCTCAATGACAGCCTGGATAGGTACTACACAATCCTCCACAAGACCAGGAAGTGGTATAAGTGGTTCTTTTATCATTTCCTGGACATTGCAATCGTGAATGCCTTTCTCCTCCACAAAGAAATTGCAAAGGTTCAAGGATGGCTACCTAAGACTCAAAAGGTGTTCAGAGAAACCCTCGCTCAGGAGCTGGCAGAGGCAGGGTCTACCGCTGATGAACCACCACCACCTCCTGACGCACCACATCACAGGCCAGTGCACATCAGTGGGCACAGCACCACCGGTCGGCTGAAGTGCAGGCACTGCCAAATGAAGACACCCGTGAAGTGCTCCTCCTGTGATGTGCCGTTGTGCTTAATTCCCGGTCGTGACTGCTACAATACCTGGCATGATGCGCAAAAACTGTAAAAAGTATCATTGTGAAACCTGTGAATGAAAATGAATTGTTTTGTGTTAATTTCTGTAAAAACTGCTTTTTAACCACAAACACTTTGTGACTCTTTTATATGCACAAAGTGTAGTTTGCTTTTGCTTCAGCTGCGGTGTGTCAGCAATACTGACAGTGAATCTGAACATGAGATGGGATATTTCTAAGTGTTATCTTTAATTAAAGCCCAAAATTACGAATGTGCGTTTTAGACTAGTCGCCTTTTTATTCTAGGTATACAACCATGGTTACCAAGGGTTCTATGGAGTCTCCAATTTTTATTTTATTTTGAAAACTCCAAGACACAGCTATTTATAATTTCCCTTTGGCTGGGCAGATCACCACTGGGACCTTTCTCGGTCTTTGGCTGGAACGAGATCCCCCGTGGTGATGGAGTGAACGTGGGACTGACTCGTAATGCCCCCAAGTACCATGTGTGGAAACCAGCTGCAAGAATTATTCTGTCCACCAGGAGGAGCGGTGATGAAAGAAGCAGTTTACTGCACCTGATATCAGTTGTTCTTAAATTTGATGTATATGAGGTAGTCTGCTTCCCACACTGAGCACACTTCTAATGATTGTTTTCATTATTCATTTACTTCACTGTATATTAAAGATGGGCAACATTTGCCCAGAAGTGAGGCCATAACTGATCGATCACCCCCGGGTAGCTGGCTGGTTGTATAGGTCATTAACCCTGCTCCTTCCATGTTAATGGGCCAAATTAAAAGATCAAAGTGCACGTCAGATGTTTTGGTTATTAATGGCACTGCTTGCGATTGGTCGCACAGTGGAAACTCAATACTGCAGTAAGATTACTACACTATTACTATACTACTATCACTTTCTCAGGAGAGGGTATGATAAGATGCAGTCTGCCCTAGTCCTTTGTGGTGGCAGCAGCGTACCAGATGATGATGGAGGAGATGAGGATGGATCTGGTGATGGCAGTGTAGAAATGCACTATCATTGTCTTTGGAAGGTTGAACTTCTTCAGCTGCCAAAGGAAGTACATCCTGAGCTGTGCCTTTTTGAGTGAGCTAATGTTCAGCTCCCACCTAAGGGGGTTATCACACAGAAATGAGACACTAGAGACGCGGACACTTCAAAGACGCTTGAAACGCTGGAAGCGCTTATTCAATGCGCGCTAGCTACTGGCGTCTGATGCTCAAAAAGTTGAAAATATTTTAACTTTTCAGCGTCTACGTGCGTCTAAAAAGAAGCGTTTACAAAAATGCGTCTAAAAAGATGCCAGAAAAACACCTGTCTAAAAAGACTCTTGAATGCCGGTCAGACGCGCCGTATCATAGGAAAACAATGGTTTTACTGGCGTCGCGTTTCTAGCATTTCATCTCGGTGTGATCACCCCCTAAGGTTCCTGAGTGATGAAGGAGCCCAGAAAGTGGAAGAACTCCAAATGGTTGACTGGGGAGTCACACAGAGTGATGAGGGCAGGTGGGGCTGTGTTCTGACAGAAATCAGCAATCATCTCCACTGTCTTGCGGGCATTTAGTTCTGAATTGTTGTCACTAAGATGTCAATTTCACAATGGTGCGCAGACTCATCCCTACTAGAGATGAGCTGACTGAGAGCTAGCAGGCTGGTGACTGGAGTTGCAGCCGTCGGTATACAGAGGAAAGAAGATGTGTTTGCCCAGCTTCATGTGCTGCTTCCTATCAGACAGAAAGTCTAATAGGAAGTCCACAAACAGGATCCTGGCGTAGGTTCCTGGGGAGTTCAGGTGCTGGAGGATGAAAAGGAGGGCCATGTTGACTGCACTGTCTACATACCTGTTGGCTCTATAGGTGATATGTATTGGATCCAGGAGTGGGTTGTTTTTGAAATTAGACAGAACAAGGTGCTTAAAGAACTAAAGAACCACTGAGGACAGGGAGATATGTCTGTAGTCGTGAAGTCCTGTGATCCTTGTTTCTTTTGGGGGATAGGGATGATGGTGAAGGTTTTGAAGCAGCCTGGTACATGGTATTGCTCCAGTGAGGTAAGATGTGGAAACATGCCACGCACCAGCCTGCTTCAAAAAATGAACCTGAAATGAGCAAACACACTCTGGAAACCAACTGAAACTAAACTGAAAAATAGAAATAAAAACTTGTGAAAATACTGAACTATAATAACTCTACTGCAGAGAATGCTACTGCACAGACTCGTTAACACAAGATGGCAGTGTCCGAATCTTTGATATTTTGGCTTCATTTTTGTACAGTGAGACAAGGTGGAGACACGATCTTTATATACAGTTATTGGTTAATGTCATGATCAGATCATGAAAATATCCTGAAGTGGTTTGTGAAACCCTGATATGGATTGTTTTGGGGTTTTTTTAGAAAAAAGTGGTGGTGAGATGGCTGACTGAGTTACTATTTATATCTTCTGTTCTTCCCATGAAAGCTTCTTAAACAGGTTGGCAACCTATGGCTCCGGGAGTGGTTCTTACATTCCCCAATTGTAAAAATGTGTAGCCTATACACTGAAATGTTGTATTATTTTGTATACACTGAATAAATATGTTTTAACATCTTGTCAACTAAAATGTGCGTCATCTGTGGCCCGCAGCTTTTCCTCCCAATGGGTTAAGTCGTGAGTCTCCCTCATAGACTGTATAATTACGATGGACGACATATCAGCTCCCAACAAGTGAAGCCATAACTTCTCAATTGCCCCCTGGTGGCTGACGACAGTATGGGGTCATAAAACCCTGCCCTCTTCATGTTAGCGGAGGAGCATGGGCCACACTAAAAGAAAAAAAAGATACTAGTGATACCAAAGGTTGCAAACTGCTGCTCAAAGAGATGTATGCAGAGGTTTTTTTCTTTGCATTTTTTATTTCTCTGGGCCAATAATAACAAAAGTCAAATGTTTTTTCTCCTGACAGACCCCATAGTTTATAAAAGATAGGCCTCTACCAAATGGTTGAGAAGTCACTTCATGGTATTTGTAAAACAGAAACACAAAATCCAAATTACATTATATTGATGTAGTTTCTTTCATCAAACATATAATGGAATAACAATAGATATATGGTATTAGCAACAATGAATATTCACCCTTTTTTTTTTCACATAATTACAACCTCCACCATCGCCTCATTTGTGTTGTGTGAAACTTGGGATTCTGCCCTCTCGTAAATGGTAAATGGTAAATGGACCTGCATTTGTATAGCGCCTTTCTAGTCATCTAGTGACCACTCAAAGCTTTTTACACTACGAGTCACATTCACCCATTCACACACACATTCATACACTGGTGGCCGAGGCTACCATACAAGGTGCCACCTGCTACTCAGTTTTAACACACTCGCACACCGATGGAACAGCCATTGGGAGCAATTTGGGGTTCAGCATCTTGCTCAAGGATACTTAGACATGCAGCCTGGAGGAGCCCAGGATCAAACCGCTGATCTTTCAGTTGGTGGATGACCCGCTCTACCTCTGAGCCACAGCTTATCGGTTGTATCTATGTCATAACAGACACAGAAGAATGAGGGCTGTGACATTGAAAACATTTGAAATGGATGTATCAATTTTGTACATAAAGGGAGTATAAACTATCCCCATTCCTCAATGTCAGTAGCACATACAGTGATTCTGACTCTTTGGGGGAGCCTTGAATGTGTTACCCCTCAAAAGAGACAAACAGTGCATGTACTCCATATGGTTCAAGAACAGCTTTCATGAACAATGTTGAGTTGAAGAGTTTAATGAAACAAAAGTGCTTTGTCTTCTTGTGTGATTTTTTTTTTTTTTTTTTTTTTGCTGTGCTCTCACCTTGGACAATTTATATACTGATCAATGTTCATTTTATTCTCTGTCTTCAGTGGAGCAATCGAGGTGAGGGAGGTGGTGAAGGACAAAATGGACGATGCGATGGCCCCTGTGGAGGACCTGGACTTTGATGACGAGAGATTCGATGATGACGATGACATTGATGAAGAAACTGAAGATGATAAAAAAGAATTTATCAAAGAAGTAAAACATCCTATGTCTAACCTGATATCAACAACTAACGGCCATGCCCAATCATCTACCATCTCGTCTGCCTCTAAAGAGCGTGATGATTTCCTCACCGCCCGTCAGCTCAGGATCGCCCTGTTCGCTTTGTGTGATGGACTCCGGCAAGCATCGAGGGTCTTTTCAACCGAAACGCAGCTCATCCACTCCTGGCTGAAGGAGGCAAGGAAGCGTTTAAAGCAAACTGAACAGGAGCAGAAGGTGGATGCCAACGGCGGCGACCGTATGGTGGCCTGGGTGCTGTCCATGCGTGAGCAGCAGCTTCCAATCACTGAAAGCAACCTCTTCCACAAAGCCTCCACGCTGAAGAAGAAGGGAGGTTTCAGTGACTCATTCCGCATTTCCTATGACTGGGCAGTGAGCTTCATGCTGCAGCATCGGCTAGGTGTACGGAGCATTGGCAGGGAGGCCACGCTGGCACGCACTCTGCCGCTTTCCCTGGAGGCTAAGATCAAGACCTTTAGGGAATTCACCAAGAAGATCATCCAGGTCAACAAGCTGTCAGAAAACACTGTAGCTGTGATGGATGAGTTGTGTCTCTTTGTTGATTTGAGGCTAGTTCAGGACAAGTCTCGCTGCTCTGAGGCCCTGGAACTCACTGGGTCTGTACCTCTGGTCACTGTTTATCTGACAGCGCTGGCAGATGGTACCATGTTGCCGTCCCTGGTGGTGGCAAACAGGCAATTGTCTGAAAAAGCGCTGCCAGAGTTCATCCTGCTTGAGGCGGGCCCAGAGACTCTGTTAGTAGAAGAAGCCTTGGAGGTCTGGACTAACAAGGTTTGGCTACAGCTTGTTACTAGCTCAATTCAGCCCAGTAAATCAATGCTGGTCCTGGACCGACACCGGGAACACATGGGAGATTCATTCCTCACCACCATCAGCGGATCGGGTACCCTTCCAGCGGTGATTCCTGGAGGCTGCTCCTTCCATCTTCAGCCCCTGGAGATGTGCATGAAGCCAGTCCTCCAGCGCTTTCTGCTGTCACGCTGGGCAGAGTTTGCGGCTGGAAACCCGAAGGAGTTAGAGGAGGCGTCTCCCCACCAGCTTCAAGCAAATGTCGCCCAGCTACTGGTGGACTGGTCAGTCGAAGCCCTGACACACCTGAACAAACTCCCACAGCTTTGGAAGAAGTCGTTTGAATTGACGGGTCTTCTGTCAGGGCAGAAAGAGGAGGACAAGGAGGGGGAGGGAGAGGAGGACAAGACAATGAGTCAGAAACCAGAGGAGATTCAGTTGGACCTCCTCAAGACCCTGACAGAGACCCTTCTAGGGACTGAAGCTTTTGGGGTATATTCTCCTGAGCTGATGGAGCTGCAAGACAAAGAGGAACAAGAGCAAGGAGAAGGGCTGGAGACCTCAGGGGAGAAACAGGAGGACAAAGAAGAAGAAGGGGAGGAGGTTGAAGAGGGGACGGAGAACGGGAAGGAGTTAGAGGAGGAAGGGAAGGAAACAAAGAAAGAGGGTCGGCCGGAGGAGGAAGGGAAGGAAACAAAGGAACAAGGTCGGCCAGAGGAGGAAGGGAAGGAGACAAATCAAGAGGGTCAGCCAGAGGAAACAGTAGAGGAAGGGAAAGACTCAATCAAAGGTGTGGAAGACAGGAAGGAGACAGAGGAGAACAAGAAAGAGGAGACTAAGAAACTAGAGGACAGTGTGGAGGAAGGAAAGCAGACAGAGGAGGACAGGAAAGAGGATGTTCAAAAACTAGAGGAGGACAGCGAGGAGGAAGGAAAGGAGACAGAGGAGGATAGGAAGGAGGTGAGCAAGGAGAGACGAGAGACCAGGATAGTGATAGGAGAGGAAGTCGGTGATGAGTGGAAGATAACAGTAAAGAGCAGGACTGAAGGCGTAGAGGCCGACAGAGAGGAGGACGACAGGATGGACGAAAGCTGAACAGGAGATGAAGACATGGATAAAGATCCGTGGACTGGGAACACCTGACCGAGTTGTCCCCGACAGGTGTCTGGTGGGACGTTTACCGCCGGATATCCTCCCTGTAATTTACTGAAACCAGGAAGAAGAGGTGGAGTCAAAGTCGAGCTAAGATGGGACCAGCAAGGAGCAACCAGCCCGGCTGAGCGTGAAAGACTGTAACACCTGTCCCCTGCCAACATACCTGTCTTGGTGAACACTTAAAGCTCCAGGTGTGCTGTTGAGTTTTCCCCAGTTTTGACAATTTGTGTTTAAATACAGACCCAAATAAGTTGTACTATATAATCCAGTTCAGAAGTGAAACTATGGACATCCACTTCAATACAGCAGCATCTAGTGGACATTAGAGGAACTGCTGCTGTGTTGGTTGCTAATTGTTTGGGACTTTAATCATGTTGAGCTGTCGTTGGGTTTTCCTGATTTTCCAGACAAAGCCATGAACGCACCACGTTTAACCCTGATTTGGTCACAACAGGCGATTTTTGGAGTCAACAAGTGTTTTGTTATGTTTTCAAGTTTTTGTTCAGTCGAACATGTTTTATTTTTAAAAATGAAAGCTAGACAAAAGCTGTAGATTTCATGATTTTATAAGTCTTGTTGCGTGATCATGACTCACAACCTTGTAAACCTACAAGTTTAGAGATTGGCTCCAGACCAGCCAGTCAGCTAATATTCATATGGAGTTATGAATGAAGCTAATTAGAGATGCAGCATCCAGTTACAAAGAACATCTTCTCCAGGGCTTCCCACACATTCATTTCTTTGTGGCGGTCCGCCACTATGAAAACATCTGCTGCCACTAATAGATTTTCTATTTTTGGAGCTGGACCTTTCATTAGGAGCACTGTTGGAATATATAAAATGTTCAGTTATGTATAGCCCCGCACTGTTGGAGCGCAGAGCACACTTGTGGCAGAGACGGAGTAGCAGAACATCAGTGAGTGATGACACTTAAGTTTCACTTAAGTGTCATTCTTTGAACCCATTGACTGTATTTGCCGTCTGACTTCCGGCAGACGGCAATACAGCCTCTGGGGGCAGACCCCCGATTTTTTGGCATTCTGGTTTGATTTGGGCGGAGGAGGCGAATTTCCGTTTCCAACTTCCGTTTATATATAAGTAAACCATTGCGATGGATTCAGAGTTTGCAGTAACAACAATTATGTTCCGCCTCATTAGTTCACCGCACGGACCGTTTAACCTGGCAACAGCTGCAGCCGGCTCAAACGCGATTGGTCAATATCACGTGGACTACAAACAGCCTACAACCGGAAACCAGGGCTCTTCCGCTCTTCTTCCGGAGGCAAGATCTCCAGGGTTTGCCTACAGGCTCTACATTCACTGAATGTAGAGTCTGTATATAGAGACTACTTAAGCGTTCACTCTGCCCGGTCTAAAGGTTTGAATCTGCAGCAGCCACTTCCAAGCAGAAGAGAGAAGATAATTTTATCTTGTCGCCTTACAATGCAGAGCCTCTCTTTCTCTGTGCCGCTGCATCACATCCCCAGTTGCCTGTCCCAAAGGGTAACATTAATGTTGAGAGCGCTCACTCTGCAGCAAAATGCGAGGACCAAAACGTCC